AAGGAGGGGGCTTTGTAGAAAACGAAGCGTTTGAGAGAGGCGGGGCATAGAGGACCTACAATAATGTACAATATTTGAAAAATAATGTGTTTTTTGAACATTAAAGCATGTCAACATATTCTGTTACACCAAATACACAAAATAATGATCTTTAAAAAAGCATCATATGACCCCTTTAAATATTTATATTTACATTTGAACTAACTATGTTATGTTATGTTATATGTTATGTTGTCGTGTTATGTTATGTTGTTATGTGAGCTAAGTAAAATATGTTATGTTGTTATGTTATGTTATGTTATGTCAGTTTTAGTAATTTTAGCACTTCAGTTAGTTGCCAGCTTTGACAAGGCAACATTTCAAATTTTTGTTTATGTTTTTTAAGTTTAAAAATTTCCAATATTTAAAATAATAAAATGTTTAATATTTTTAGTTATTCTGACCAAGACAGGAAGTGACCGTCATCAAGTGAACAACCACCTAGCATTTAGCAACATAGAAGCCATTCAGATTTCTGCCTTTTGAACAAAATGTGTATCAGACAGTCAGAACAGGTTTGTAGGCTGTTTGAGGCTAACACAAAAATATAAATATTAACAATACTGACAAAAAATTTTTAATGGCAAACTTCGAAAGCATTATTTATAAAAGTAAACCATAAATAACGTCTTGAACCCATGGTGATCTATTTGAGTTCTGTGAAACGATTTATGCCGTTTGAACATGAAACACCACTGACGAAAGCTTAGATAAGACACCTTTCACTTAAGGTGCATCGTGCTTACTCTTTCTCTTTTGAATTTACAGCACTAACATCTGCAGGATGTTGCCCTCTTCTACATAGGGAACACTGATAAAAGTGTTGCTGTGTATCATTACACTTTATTCTTCCCCAGAGGACAAAAATATATACAAAAAGACGCTCTTCTCTTCATTTACATTGGTCAAAACAGAATATTTATTTGGCAGCAGTGGTGAATGCGTTTCTATTGTATAAGAAAACCTTTCAGTGGGGAAAAAATTAAACTCAGGGCAGGTTGGAGAAGATGAAAAAGCTCACCCTTACTGTGGGCCATCAAAATAAACACACGAGTTGAACTGCAATCCATGTGGGATGAAAATGGATAGAAAAATACATAAATGAAGAAGGAGTGGGCTTGATGTACACTGAGAGTTATCCTACACTCAAGTCACTTCAAGCAAATGCAAATTATGAGCAGATACAACCCACTTTAAGGAGGTCAAAATGCATTCATTTTATATGCTGCAAATTAGAAAAAAGCACTTTTCCCTTGAGTTCGCATGAGAGAGGCAGCCTGGGCTAAGAGCACTTATATTAGTATGAATATTTCCACCATCTTGGAATTTTTAATAATGTGAATACACATCGCAGATTTAACTGAAAGGATAAACCAGGAATAATGAGCGTGAAGCCAGTATCACAGGAGCGTTACACAACACTGAACTGCCAAACTAAACGGTGTTCCTTCAGGTCAAAGGCGCTGATGTTTTACACACAGACGTTTTGTGATTGATACGCACTGATCTACCTCAGTCGGCACTCTTTTAAGCAATAATCATTCATTGAGCTTTTGATTGGGCGCTAGGCTGCAGTGGGCACCCAGCAGCCCATCCGTCCTCACCTGCCAATACAGTTTGATGAGCTTGCTTATGTGCCGGTTGTTGCCTCCTGACAGCCAGTAAATGTAGTCAGCAATCATGGCGCCCCTAATGACAAGGACAGAAACAGGCGGACGGTATCAGACAACTTTCAATCAAGATGTTACATAGTCTAGAGGGAGACGGCACAGGAGACATGGCACATACTCGATAAGGGAATTCACTCGATAGACACACATGCACATGCCATGCCGTGTCTCTCGATACAGTCAAAGCGCTTGCATCAGGCTGACTCATGCGGTTGCTGGCACAAATGTCTCTCTCTTGCATGTATTCTTTCTCAGCGTGACAGCGTTGTGCTAATAATATTCATGTGTATGCGTCACATCATCAAACTTGGGAGATGTGAAAGTGTAAAATTGACCTGTGGTGACAAATCTTTATATAACAAGGCGAAATAAACTGCATTTATCTCCGATATGATGAGAAGAAGCCATATGCATGTAATTACCTTCAATTTACGAGGGTCATGTGACAATGAGATTAGATGAAATATTTATCTTTGCATATAGTTTCAGATCATTTTTTGAAAAAAAAACAGAAGGAGGAATACAGTGTATACTGTATAACAAGTTAGTATATTATTCATTAAGTGAAACAAAAGGAATTATTTCCATGACAAATGTTCTAAACAAGAGTATTCTACATAGTTTGTCACAATATACAGTCAATATAAAATAATATTAAAATATAGTTTAAATATAGAAATAAATAAATGCATATAGAAATATATTCAAGTATAAAATACAAATGTTTATTTTGCAATTATTATTTCAGTTTTGTGTTGAAAGAAAAATGTCTTTCAACAGGCTGATCAAATAAGTCAAAATAAAGATGATAAAAAAATCCATGGATATCAAATCGTCAGAATTGAGAGATGTGAAAGAGAAAACTGACGCATGAGGGAGAAGAAAAAAGTGAAACAGAGGTCTAACCTGGCATAATATAATATAATATAATATAATA